GTACAAATTCTTAATGTCCCCCGAGGTACGTTGTAACGAAGTTTGACTGTACTAATGTTTCAATGCATGTTCTGAAGTATGTCTGTAAATGCCTTCTTCAACCCATTTCATTCCCCCTTTTCCCCCCAGCCTGTCAATGTGACCTCCAGGGATCCCTCAGCAGCTTCTGTGACCCCCACGGGGGACACTGTCTGTGTCACCCCAATGTGGTAGGCAAGAACTGTGACCAGTGCGCCCCCGGCACTTTCCAGTTTGGGCCCAATGGCTGCAGACGTGAGTCCCTTTTTTTTTACACTTGGTCTGAGCATGATGGACAATTCAACCCTGGCTGAAATTTATTTGCTCAAAAATCTGCAATCAGGGGCTAATCAGTCTTCCATATACTGATTCATCCTAATGTAACTATCTGACATAACAACAAATGGTTTTTACAGTCTGGCATCCTGCCTTAATACCACAGTGCAGGGAGGAAGGAGAGAGGCTAAGTTCAGTTCCAGGACAAACTGTGGGGTTTCCAGCTGTACCACATCCAGTTCTGTTCAAAGCTGTATTCCTTAAGAGCCGAGAGCGGGCCGACATTTCAGATCAGATAACCTGTTTATCTGTTGTTTCTATAGTCATACAATGACTGAAACCAGCATTTAAGAAAGCATTGTGAGTGTGTGTGTGATACCCTGCAGACTGCGTATCTGCAGCATGTTTCTTCCTCTCCGCCTCCAGCATGCGACTGCCACTCCCTGGGCGCTGTGAATCCCTTCTGTGACAAGGTGACGGGGCAGTGCCACTGCATCCATGGTGCCGACGGCCACCGGTGTGACCACTGCCTCCCAGGCCACTGGGGTTTCCCCAGCTGTCGGCCCTGCACCTGCAATGGCCATGCAGAGTACTGCGATCCCAACACGGGGGAGTGTTTGGGCTGCCGGGACCACACAGCTGGGCACAGCTGCGAGAGGTCAGGGAGCCCCAGTCAGGCTATGAAAGGGAGGCTGGAGAGGAATTAGTCCAATTCTACACACCGTAACGATAACCGCAGAGGAATCCTGTGAGCTTGAATGAAACCAGTCTTTTGTGACCTACCAGATTGGAAAGAATCCTGTGGCCCAAAGTCCAGACTCGAACAATGTGGTGACACCACATTTATCCACAGGTGTCTCAGCGGTTACCATGGTGACGCAGTGCTGGGTTCTGGTGATCACTGCCGGCCCTGCATGTGTCCCGATGGGCCGGGCAGCAGACGGCAGTTTGCCACGGGCTGTTATCACCACTCCTACCAGGTGTTCTGTTCCTGCAGTCCTGGATACAGAGGTAAAAATACTCACAGTTTGGTAACACTGTGTGAGTTTCAGCACGACATTTGACTTGAACATCTGTCTCACCTGTAGGGTCCAGGTGTGAGGACTGTGCTCCAGGTTACTATGGAAACCCCCATGAAGCGGGCGGGCATTGCTCACCATGCCAGTGCAGCAATAACATTGACATGTTGGACCCGGGGTCCTGTGATGCAAGTTTGGGTGTCTGCCTGAAGTGCTTGTACCACACGGAGGGTGAAGCTTGCCACCGCTGCAAAAAGGGTTACTATGGCGATGCACTGTCACAGAGCTGCAGGAGTGAGTGGACAGTTTGGGCCCAGTTAATGAGTTGAAAATTCCTGAAAGTATACACAATGTTTATTACTGATTTTTTGTTACTAATAGGCTTCTCTGAATGTGCGCCTGTTCTATCCCCAGAATGTGCATGTAACTACCTGGGAACGGAGAATGGAACCTGTCTCTCAGAAGGAGAGTGTCACTGTGATCCAATCGCTGGGCAGTGCCCCTGCCTTCCCAATGTGGTGGGGCAGAATTGTGACCAGTGTGCCCCAGATACCTGGAATCTGTCCAGCGGTGCTGGCTGCCAGCCCTGTGACTGTGACCCTGAGAACTCTTTCAGGACGTCCTGCAGCAATGTGAGCTGTGGCTGCCCGGTTTGATCCCTGTCCCTACTGCACTTTAGGTCTTAGTCCTTACTCTACCTTAGGTCTCAGTCCTGATGTTTGATGGTTGAACTTGTTTCAAGTAAATAGACAATAACCCTAAGCTAAAACCCAAGCTATAATGTTAACCCTAGCCACTATCCTTGCATCTAAGCCCCCATGTTACTCTCAAAGACTTACTGGCCTTAGTACAGCCAGACCCCATTGACACAATGTGATGTCTCCAGGTTACAGGCCAGTGCTACTGCAAACCCGGGTTTGGGGGCAAAACCTGTCGTGAGTGCAGGGAGCTCTTCTGGGGTGAGCCCAATGTGAAATGTCAGGGTAAGTGAACCACCGGTTCAACGTTTTGTCATTTTAGTGAATTCTCTGGCCCACATTGCTTGTCCTAAGTGATCAACAACTGTCACCACGATGTCTGTGCCCCTGTGTCTGCTCCAAGTCGGTAACTTTTCCAGGAATGCACTTGGCTGCTGTCAGATATTCTCCACAGCACCTCCTATCTCAGAGGAGCCTGACAACAGGGCAAGGGTCACCAGCATGATAGAATATGGAGGTCCTTAAACAGAAGGTCACGAGTATTTTCGGTGCTGTACATGAATGGTGGAGGATTGAAAAAAAGCGTTTAATGTTGACAGCAGTAATAAACAGTGTTTTAAATGTGCACTGTCACTATTTTGTATAGACAGGGTTGTACGAATGTGGATTTTTACAGTAAATTACAGTAGTTACATAAATGTAATACAACAAATGTGCTTCTTTTCTGCTTAGAAGTTCTGTAATGTGGGAATAGTGGGGCACTGGTCATGGAGAAGCCGCCTCCCCCAATCCCATGTCAATGTGAATGGAAACCAGATGTGCTTAAATGTGGTGCATGTCAAAGCCTTGCAGTGAGATGAAGTGTAACAGTGCCGCCTGCCTTCACTGAGAGTGTACAGGCAGCCATCTGTGTCTTAACCAGTTATGGAAGAAATTGCTTCACCCAATTCCTGCTGGTTGTACCAGCACAAGGTCACTCTACCAAGGATAATTCTGCCAGTGGTTAGTTACAGAAATGAGCCCTGAATTGTCTGCCAGTCCTCAGTCATAGCAGACCTGCTCACTTTCAGCTGTATGTTTGCACTGCAAAATTGCAAAACTGGAAAGCTGTGCATGAGAAACTAGATCATTAGGCGAGTTTGTCATGTTCCCTTTCTCATGCACAGTGGCCGTTCCTGTGTTTAAATTGCAGTGCCAGGATGAGTAGTGAGTCTTTAGCGTTTCTGCATTTACATTCCATTTAGTCCCAAGATGAGTACATGGTGGAAGGGGTTCTTCTGTAAGTCAGGATGCATGGCGGTGATTCATCCGCTTTAACCCCCAGTCTGTTTACTGTGTGTTTCCCATTACTAGTGCTCTAGTGATTGAGATTCTCTGATTGCCACTTGCTATGATGGACTGGCATCCTGTCCATGGATGGCTTAACTAGATTTACATTTTGTAAACTGGATCATCATGAAAAATGATGGTATCAGAGCTGAAGTTTTGCATTTTATCTGTAGGGTCCAGCTGGAACGGAAGTGTGTTCTGAAAGAGCAGTGTCCTCCCGGGCCTGTTCTGTTTACAAGTTCTTGGTCATGTTCTCTTGCCCAGGCAAATAAGTTCTACACGTTTGAGGAGTGGAGAGTTCTCAGAAATGAGAACCATATGGGAAACCCCACCCACGTAACCATGGTGGCACGTGTACAATAACACAGCACAGATGTGCCGACAGGCATGGGAATCAGCTGCTGGTCCATTTCACGAAAAGGCTTCTGCACTGCATGGCTTAGTGTCCATACATCCTGTCACAGTGCTGCCCGTAATCACTCTACTCTTTCATGACATCATCCCAGCCCCACAGCTGTTCTGCCTCCCTCTGCCGTTTGGGGAGCCTGAGAGTGGGTGTGCAAACATCTGCGTCGCTTCCATAGAGTGTTCCCAACCTGCCTCTGATTCCTCACTTTTTCTAAATGTGGTGTTGTGTAAGGAACTGGAGCTTCACAATTATGATTTCTCTTTTTATAATATTAGTTGCAGTATAAGATAAGAGTATGACATATATAGTAATTAATGCCGTGTGCGTGCTTATGTGTGTTGACAGAAGACACTATGTTATCTCCGAAAGCCTTGGTGACAGAAGGTTCAGGTCAAAGGAGACAAAATTCTCTTTACCCCTAAAGGGAGATAAGATATAAATTTATAAAGATATAAAGGGAGATAGATATAAATAACGCTTCAGATTAATTTCTTCTCGCTTCTCCAGAATTTGCGCTAAAGTTTGTTGTTGCGGTCTTTCTCTGTTAGCATTAGCAGACTCCGTGTACTCTGCACTATGGTACGTCTTTAGCTGTTTGATCAAATTGCTTGTGTTGAATGACGTGCTGTCCCCTCCTCTTGACACTTTAGCAGAACAGACCTTAGTCTGACAAAATGTCGCAGTTCTGAGTTTTAGCGTAATGTAGCAATTAAGTGGTATCGGCTCTTGGTATCGGACAATTTTTACGAGTATGAGTATATGAGTGCAGTATCGGCCCGATACCTGATGCTGATATCAGTATATTCCTAGTTACTGCTTAAATAATGCATTGATTTACAGAAATTAACCCTGTCTGAAGCAGACTGTAACTCCACAACTGCAAGTAAAATGCATCTATCAAGTGAGAGGACTGCATTTTTATTCCAAATACAATGCACTTATAACCCAAACCCTATATCCAAGTCTCTGAGTTTGATGAACATGTGCTTGTGTGTAGGTCAACAGCTTTTTAACCAGTGCTTCAGCCTTTTTAAAGGATGTGTGTTCTTTTGCAGCTTGTGACTGTGACCCCAGGGGCATCTCCATGGAGCAGTGCCACAAGACCACAGGTCATTGCGTGTGTGTGGAGGGCGTGGCTGGTCCCCGGTGTGACACCTGTGCGCGAGGCTACACGGGCGAATTCCCTGACTGCGTCCGCTGCCACGAGTGCTTTGCTGTGTGGGACCAGGTCGTCAGTGATCTCACCAACAGGACACAGCAACTTTTGAAGAAGGTGGACACTCTCAAGGTCAGCGGCGTTATCGGGCCCTATCAGGACACCATCGACAACATGGAGCAGAGTGTTGGTGCCATCAGGGCCATCCTGGCCCAGAATCCAGCCACCCAGCCTCTCACAGAAATCCAGAAGCTTCTAGAGGAATCAAGGTTTGGTACCTACTGTATGAATTTGAGGGCAGCAATCAGTTTGTTACAGGCAGGAATCAGACAATGAGAAGGAAGTTGTTCATATACAGTAAGAACTTCACACCATTAAATTCGGCACAGGGTTTTGATTAGGTCAGAGACGCAAGCTTGTAAATCTGAGTAACTAAAAGAATTCCTGCAGCATGCCTGATTTCTAATAGTAGTTACAAAATGGATTAAATCACATTTTGAACAATTACTCCTTGTCCCTCACTGTAAATCAATTACTATTCATGCATAGGTTCTAACATGTAACAGAATGACTGCATTTTTTTCTAATATCCCTCTCTCAGAAACTTGCTAGCAAAAATGGACACCAAGCTGAACATTACAGAGGAGGCCCTCAGTCATGTCTGGTTAGATGCCAACAGCACTAGCATAAAGTTGGACTCACTCAGTGAGGAAGCTCTGATGCTACAGAAGACAGTCAAAGACCTGCAGGAGCAGGTGGATTTTGTGAAGAATTCAGATGTACAGGGTGGGTACCAAGGTGGATTGGGCAATGTCTGGCTTAATGCACTTTATAATATTGCAGTTTAAAAGGTTTCTGCTGGAAAATGTTTCTGGTCATTTAAAATTGCTGCTCTTCAATGTATTTTAAGGAGCAATGGACAGCATCACCAAGTACTACCAGCAGTCCATAGATTCAGAGGCACTCGTGAATGCCTCCACTACGGATGCCGACAGCATAGTGCAGCAGTCTACCTTGCTCCGGAAGATGGTGGAGGAGAAGATTAATGAAATCAAGGAAGACTTTGACCAAAACGAGGAGAATCACACAAGGACACTGGATGAGCTTGCTAATCAGCTAGAAACTCTTGACCTGAAAGATCTCAATGAAAAGGTGATGGTTTAGGAATTCCAAACGTCTTAATGGCTATATACAGTTTTGGGACTGGCATGATTTTTCTCTCTGTTGGTTCCAGCACGTAAGCAAAAAGAGAGTTTATTCTGAATAAGTGGCTGACTGAAAGTACACACACAGAACAAAAGATGAAGAGGTTGAGTTCCTTGATTAGTCCATATCTATATGCTTTCCTCTAGACATGCGGACGACCAGCAGGCTCCAAGAGCTGTGCTGAATCTCCCTGTGGGGGGCTGACCTGCCTCAACGATGATGGCACCAAGAAGTGTGGGGGTGATGGATGTGACGGCCTAGTCTCCATCGCCCACAATGCCTGGCAGAAAGCAAAAGACTTTGACAAGGAGATCCTCAGTGCTCTCAAGGAGGTGGACAAACTCTCCAGGATGGTAGGCTTCCATTGTCTTTACTATCAGCACAAAATGAAAAGGTTGATTAACATTTTATAAAACATAGTGTTTCTAAAGAAGAAATTGTGACTACCCTGTACATGTTGCCTGAGAAGTATTGCCGATCCACTTAACCACCGACGGGTGCTTAACTACACCCCCCCCCCCCCAATACCACCACCAGGTTTCAGAGGCAAAGGTGAAGGCAGACAAAGCCAAAGCAAATGCTCAGGAGGTTCTTCTTAAAAGCAATGCAACCAAGCAGCGTGTGGACCAAAGCAATGAGGAACTGCTTAAATTGATCAAACAGATCAGGGACTTTCTCACCCGTAAGTGTCCATTCAGTTTGAATATCTCAGATGTTTAAAAATTACCTCAATATTTCATCTAGTGTTATGGTGGAGAACCCACTTCCTTTGGCAGGTAGATTATCTACATAATTTAGAGTTTCCATTAGGAACTCTAATAACTGTGTTATGCCTTAACAATTACTAAGTGAGTAAAAAGTAAGCGAGTGAATCATTGGAATTTCTTCGAGTGATGTTCTTTGGTCTCCCTATGACCACAGAAGATGGTGCAGACCCAGAGAGCATTGAAATCGTGGCTAACCAAGTGCTAGAGATGCAAATGCCCACGACACCAGCTCAGCTGCAGAATCTGACGGATGAGATCCGGGAACGTGTGAGCAACCTAACAGAGGTGGATGACGTTCTGAGCCAGAGTGCGGCAGACATTCAGAGAGCTGAAGCATTGCTGGCCCAAGCCCACAAGGCCAGGTGAGAGCAGGATAGTGAAACTAGGGGGTAGGGAGGAAGCAGGGCAGTCCCTGAAAACGGAGGGGTGTAAGTACAGAAATATTCCTCACATTTACTCTCAGAACTCCTGATATAAACCGCTGACCCTCTGTTGTAGTGAGGAAGCTAATAATGTGAAGGACACAGCCATGATGGTAAAGGAGGCCTTGGAGAAGGCGGAACGTGCCCAGACTGCTGCCTCCAAAGCCATTAAACAGGCTAACAACAACATTAAGGGCACCCAGGACCTGCTGACAACAGTGAGTATCCCAGAATGCAACAGTAAGCCTAAACAGCAGCTAATCCCCAGAATTCTGTTCAAGTGGCTGTCAGTGTTGGAAAGAAGAATTCAAAAGCTCCAGTGGGGGACAACTGCGCACTAGTGCTGGGCGGTATGACCAAAAATTTGTATCACATAATTTTTTACGATTCTGGTGGTTTCATGAAATATCACAGTAATTTTTTCCCATGTTCAACCTTACTGCAGCAGCAAGCGTTTACTGTACATCAATAAAATATGTTTATGAATGTTTTTAAAAATGCATGTTTTTATTAAATGGGCTATTATAAAAATAATTTACATTTAGCTTTATAGTATAACTGACATGTTTTATTATGTTAATAATGTATATTTAACTAGATAGCTATGTGTTTTATTGATGTTAACCGTATATTTAGCTCCATGGAGACACATTAAATTGATTATTGCCATATATTTAGCTTGGTAACAACATGTTTGCTTAACTGGTATGATTTTTATAATTAGTACCGTGATAAATCGATTTTGTTTTGCCGATATGCATTGAAACGCATACCTAATTATATTACACGTAATCCAAATTTTCAGGCACATACTGGAGCAGTAGCTGTAAATACTATAATGCTGAAGTTACATTTATAATAGTTTTAACTGTTTCTGAGAAGGGTATGCAAAGCTAACAGGGGTCACTACTCAATCCACTCTTTACAACAATACATAGTGCTTCTGTACAATACTATATCATTTGCTGTCTATTTAAACATTACAGCTGTTCTTTCAACAATGCTACAGTATGGTGGTCTATGAAAAATTCACACCACATGGCAAATGCCCAGCCAGGACTACTGTGCACTGGTGTAGAGTCTGTGTGCAGACAATTATTGGGAATTAGTTAGTAGCCTAACTGAAGTAGTTTGCCTTAAAGGGATTTTGTACCAAAAAGAACTTGATGTCCCTTCCACGCCATCTCAGGTGGAGTCTGAAACGGCAAACTCAGAGTTTAAACTGAACAACGCCACCCAGAGGCTGCTGCAACTGGAGAAAACCCTGGATATGATAAAGATGAAGGCCCAAACAAATACCCTGAGCGCTGAGCAAACGGAGAGCTTGGCGAAGAAGATCGGTCAAGAGGCCGAACAAGTCAGAATAGTGCGTACCAGAGATAAAACCGACTCCTGCTTTGCACTTCCTCTGCTTTTCAAAACCTAATGTTAATCTCTTGGCATACTGTTGCAACAGTTTCTATCTGATAGTTTTTTTTTTAAGCAAAGCAATTTAACCAACTTGTAAATTGACAGGAGCTGGACAAAGAGTTGCAGGAAAAGTACATCTCAGTGGAGAATCTGATAGGCCAGAAAGCCAATGGTGTGGCTGGTGCCAGGAGGAGGGCAGAGCAGCTGCAGCAGCAGGCAAAGGAGATGCTGTCCCAGGCCAGCAGCAGACTGCAGCTACTGGAAGGTGGGAGAGTCAATGTACATAATTAGTATATACACTTGAATATTTTCACAAGATCTCTGAGTAGGAATCCTTAGGGGATTCACACTAACTTCGATGAAAATTCGTTTTTAAACTCTTTTTCCAGATTTAGAAAAATCATATGAAGAGAATCAGAAGGTATTAGAGGACAAGGCAGGTGAGCTGGCAAAGTTGGAGAAAACCATTCAAGATCTGCTACAGGAAATCAGCAGCAAAGTCACGATGTACAGCACCTGTGTGTTTTAACTGTGCGACAGAGCCCAGCAAAGCTCCTGATTTCATAGACTCACCATGAAACTGAACACCCGGAGAGCCTAAGCAATGTGTTGATTCATGAAAACTTTTATAATGAGAACCAAATCACCTTTAACAATCCCTACACTATATCATGTTAAAACAAAGAACTGAATGCAATCACTTATTCAGTTTTTGACCATGTAGTTGAATTTTTTTTAAAAGAACAATTAAAATATTTACACCATGTGTTTAAAATGTTCATTCAAAATGTAGGACCAAAAGTGTGATATAAAAGCTGAAGCACTTTCTGTCCTAATGTTTATTTCCCATGAGATCTTGTGAAACCGACAGTTTCACAATATGTGTCTCACACAACTAAAACAGGACTTTATCTTCAGAATGTTACATTAAACCTCCAACTGTCATGTTCTGCTCACAAAATTCCCCTTTACTCGCAGATATTCATACACACTTGGTTGCTAACGTAACACCTCCAGCAGGTCATCCTTTACATTCCTTAATGAAGTGCAGGGCTCTCAAACAGATAATGATTGGCTCACAACATGGGTACAAGATGAACATAGAGTCTCTCTGAAGCAGAAAAACAGCATACTTCACATAGTCAAACACCTTTATAAAACAATGAGAAAACAATGTTTTCAGTCCTGAAGATGTTTTACCTTACATTTGGAATTTGCAGTGTGCCTGTGGCATTTTCTAGTTTCCTAATACAGCATGTTGTTGAATGTGTCCAGTAGTTGTTTATTTATTCCTTTGCAAAAAAATATTAGTAAATAAACTTTATTTATATAACATTTTAAAAACAGCTTCTGCTGACCAAAGTGCTTCATATATGCAAAGGAATAATAATAAAGGAATATATACAAAAACAGGTCCCTAAGCCAATACACCTGAACCCCTCTTTGAAACAAATGATTAATACAATTGTCAAATGAATTTAAAATGTCTTCATCATCATCATTTAAACTGAGAATTGTTCATTTGCCCTCAAAACAGCTGTGATACCAGCAGTGTGTTGTGTTCATCGAAAAAGCAGCATAACCTTTTACAAACAGGGCAGCCCAGCCGACTTTGACAAATGCCTCAAATAATGTCTGAAAAGGAAGGGGTAGATGATGCCTTATGGATACATTGCTGGGAGGGCAGATGGACCAATGTGAAAGTGCAGTGAAATTCAACCTCTGATGGAGAACCCCTTCTATGATTTCAACATCTTAGCCATTGGAGGGTGCAGTTGCAGTTAATCCAATCAGATGTGCAGAATTGTCTGGACTTCACTGTGAAATGCTACAGTTTCACTCTGCTGAAGAGAGCTCAGAACCATGGTAGAGGCTGCCAAAGCCAGAGGACACAGCTGTAGCCTCTTGGGGCCATACCCACCACTTCGACAATCCCACATTCTTGACCTTGTGTGCTGTATCCCTAGTGGTGTAGTTTGTAGCACAAGACATCAACATACAGCACGTAATAATGTAATGTGTAGTCTTGATAGTATTCATATACTATGTGTCCCCTGATTAAATGGTACCCCATTCAGTGTGTCCCTTGTCCTTTGCCCTCTGCTTCCATAGGCTCATGGCACAGTAAAGGCATGAGTAGCTGTACCAACACAGCTAATCAGTGGAGTAAAATAATGGTACATTTGCTCTAACTGCCTGCAATTCAGCTGGTTATTTAGTAGGACACCGCACATATATTGAGCGGCAACTAGTCCTTGTTTGAATAAATGCTTATACACCCTAAAGAGATAACACCTCTCCACAGAATTAGATATAAATAGCCTTCCATTAAATGTAGTGTGCCAGAAACCAGAATTCTTCAACATTTTAAGTATATTTACCTATACAGTAAAGAGACAGCCGTGCATTTTGACAGCCGAAATTACTCTGCATGGTACACTTTACGGTGAACTTACATCGTCCGTGAAGGATTCGTTCATCTCCACGCACTGATGCCTTCCTTGAATTTATTGAATTATGTTGCTTGTTTACAGTTGTACAGCACTTCATAATCCCCGTTCCAAATGATACACCCCCGGTTTCATTACCCACCCCCTTTCATTAAAGTTTTTTAATAGCGGCTGTCGTCGGTAACGGGCAACCCTTATGCACGAGACAGAGAGAGAAAACCCGCTAAAAATCCCCCTTCAACAGCCTCCGTAGGTGACCCCCCATAAACCACAGCATTTGGGTCGTATAATCGCCACACTAAACGTTTACTATCCTGTAAGGAGACCCCACGGACAGAAAGAGGGGACGATTTACAGCTAAACTTAATAACGCAGTATGTAATTAAATAAAATGATGCTCTCCTTTCGAGAGCGAGACGCTACCGTCCGTGTCAGCGAAAGAGGACTCAATAAAAGCGAAGATTCAGGTTTTGTTTTCGATACGTTAGAATTAGATGGACTCCGTTTTGGGTGTTATTTTTGACAATATGAATGTGAGAGCATAGACATTTGTAAAATCGCACAAACTGGTAATGATTTTATATTTTACAGCGCCCACGCTGTTTTCTGAGTTTTGTCTGAAGGAATATATGCTTCTTTTCAAACGTTAACAGAATAGCAGTAAATACCAGGCCGTCGCTTAGCCTGATGTTATACCACTGGGGGACGTGGTGTCCCCGGCGTTAAGATTAACGCGCTTTATATATAATGTAGATTTGAAATACGTTTCGATTTATTTGTCCTGTAGCCGATAAACATTCCGTTTCTACGGAACGATTTATTCATCGTTTTCTTCTGTAATTTATTTTGGGTGCCACTTTACAATAAAGCTACCAATATAAAGGGTTTATGAATGGTTTATAATCTGGTTATTAATTAGGTTGTAACACTTTGTAAATTATTAATAGATAATTTTAAACAAGTTATAACACAGTTTTCTTTTTATTAATGAGTTACTACCTTTTACAAGTGGCAAAAGGGAGCCTTATTGTAAAATGGTACCTTAATTATCTGCTCGTGGGTTTGCATTTACGTCATCGTAAGATGATCGGATATGGAGATGAACAAGAAAAGTCACTAGATGGCACTGTTCTCCGGTTTTATGCCCATTGATCATTGCCGGTTGGGGTGGCACTCTAATTTGGCTATAATATTCTAATAATGTGATTAGAGAATTGGTCTATAATGACTGACAAAATTATACTATTGTTATTTACAGCTGAGCAAGGTCGTAATTATAATATATATTGGGGGCACGTTTCCCCCCAATATTCAGATGTACTCACAATCCCCCCAAATATATATCAAGATTACGGCCTCGGTCGCCTCCAAGGTCACGTGACGTCTGCTATACACCGCAGGCGCCGCATCCTCTGCGCACCTGAGGAGTGTTTTAACGCTAAAATACTTACGTTTAGATTTACGTTTAGATACTGCGGTTTCTCATAACGGCTGTTCACTGAATAGGTGCCGAGTAAGTTGATTCCTTAAAGTCTAAGCAAATTAGGCTTTTATCAAACAATGGGCTAGGATTTCCACCATGCTTTACTGTCTAACTTATTCTACTTTATTACTTTGTTTTATCAATGAGATAATATGGGTAATTTTTCACAGAATTTAAAACAGATGTTATTGATTCACAGCGTAAGATGATCATGCTGATTTTTGCCCTCGTTGTTTTTTTCTTTAGAGTACTGGCACCTCGTAGTATCTGCTGGTAGCGATAGTGAATAACAAGAGGAGCACCAAGAGCTCTTTTTCCACACTTCAAGCACTGTTTCAACAGAAGTCAAAAGTTACAGTACAGACATGGTTGCGAATTCTTTCATCCTGGCAGTAGGATCTGTGTCATAAAAGATAACTTAATGAATGTAGAGCCTTATCTAGGAGGATATGTTGTCACACTGATACCTTGGCCAACATCAGAAATTTCACCCATAAAAGATGATGTAAGTGCAATGAAATTGGGAACTGTTCACATCATGGACACAACTGCAGATTTGGTCCCAATACAAGGCACTTAGACGGCGACTATGAAATAATTTAAAAAGAAACAAAAATTATTACTTTTCAGAGTATGTTATAGATATAGGAATTGAAATATACATATATAACGGTACGATCACGTGTGTGTATGCTACATATATATAATACCGATTTGTCACATTATAATTATTATTATTATCACTGATGTTGTTATAATTCTTGTTGTTTGATGAGTGTTATTTTCTTATGGTTGTTTGTATTCTGTATTCCCCTATACTTATTTTTTTTCCATCCCACCTACATTATCAGTGTTATTATTTCTGTATGCCTTCCCCCCTCTCCCCATGGTGATTGATGTCTGTTATTGTTACGCTTGTTGTTTCTGTATCCCCCCCTGTTTTTCTTTTTTTTTTCCTTTTTCCACGGGACGGGTGAGTTCGGAGCGGCCACACTCTTGGCTCTTGAATGTAAAATAAAGTTGTCCTCCGAAGAGGGGGGGTGGTGGTGGGCAATAAAAAAAAAAAAGAAAAGAAAAGAAACAAAGCGGCTCCATAATCAGCACTTCTACTACATCTCTGGTTTTAGCCCTTGATGTGAATTTGTTCAAAATCATGTCTTCCAGACAAAATCAAGCTACATCCACTTCGAACTGGATGCTTTTAAATGAACCGTCAGCTTTAACTTTGACATTTGATTGATTTTTTTTGGCATTTTATTTTGTTTATTTATTGTTTTTGTCTGGACATTTTGCAAATCATTACTTCTGAAAAGTGGAGGTAGAGTTTGAAAAAAAGCAAATATGAACGTCACAAAATAACTGGGACTCAGGCACTGCCATCCCAAATGATTACTGTATGCATGTCACCTGCCGCCTTCTAAGGATGTCTGCTTCTCCTTCTATCCTATAAATTTCTCCTAGTGATATTTCTGCACAATGCTTTCTGGTACATGTGTGGCTTCTAGTTTTTTTAGCATGGGAAGTCAGGAGAGAGATTAGCCACATAGCAATAGCAAGGATCAGGGTGGAGGTATTTGTACAAATTAAAGCATTTCCTAAGTCCTTTCCTCTCTTAAATACAGCATGACACAAAGCAGTCCATGTTTCCTAACTCTAGCTGGCTCCTAAATCAGGAATCGCTTGGCTTCAAACCTTCTCTCCAGTGCACAGGCGCACACTAACTCACTTTCTCGCACAGACTACAGCACACAGTGTCATAGGTGTCGTAGCAGCTATGTTTAGATCTCAATGAATGGCATTAATTTGTGTCAGGGTCAGTGATCGTCCATCCCTGCCCTTCGTGTTGCTTCCCCGTTTGGCCAGCAGCTGTCGCTGGCCATCCTGTCTTGTCATTCCTTCTCTGATCATGATTGTGTGTTTTTCTTGCTCCTAAGACTGCAGGTTAGCTTACCCAGATGAGTGTGTGGCTCAGATTGTTAACCTTATAGTCATGGTTCAACGCTGGCCACATACCAGCCTTGTTTGTTACTTATTTGTTGGTTTTTCTGTTTTCCCAGTGTGTATTACTTCCTGTTTGTTTGTGTCATCAGTTTGCCCTTCTAGGGTTTTGTTGTGGTTTTTGTTTTGTACCTTTCTGTTCCACATTAATTAGCTTTGCATTGTAGTACTAGTATCTGGTTTAGGTCTCCTAGTTTTGATGTCTGATAAGCTTTCTAGTTCTGTTAATGAGCCTCACCTGTTGCATGTTGTCCTGTCCTTTCTTTGATTGGTTATTTGGGTATTGTTCTCACCTGTCCTGTGTTGTCTTGTTACCCTTGTGTGTATTTAAGTACCTGTTCCTGTGCTGTTTTCCAGTCAGTCATTGTATGTTGATCAGTGAAGGTTATGCTGTGTTGCTTTGTCTAGTTGCACTGTCCTGCGCTCTTCTTGTATTATTTTGTGGTGTCTTTAAGTTAGTTCTTGGTTTCCCCATTTGACCCCTTGCAGTCCCTTTTATTTAGTGCTTTCTGTAGTGCAGGGGTTTGAAGGAAGGGGTAAAAAATTAAAGATAATGTGCAACCCCCCCCCCCCACACACACACACACACAAGTACAGTAACATGGTACACCAAGTATAGTAGGATACTATTTTATTTTATTTTTTTAGAAGGGCACCCATCAGAGATATTTTTCTCCATCACCAAAGTACTCCTAACTTGAAATGGCACTTTAGAGGGAACTTCACAAGTTTTTCTCCACTAGATGGTTCTATTCATTATAACCCTTTTTAAGACACATTTTCTCAGGCACAACATTATGCTGTCTCACATGAAGGCATCCTAGGCAACACTCTATTTTTTTTTTCCATGTGAAGGGCAGCCAATAGCACTTCAACGATGTTTTTTCAACCATGGTGTCACCTGGAGGGGGGATTGGGAGGGGTCACCCCCTGAGTCCAGCAGTGATTTTTGATGTGAGTATGGGTCAGACACAGTACTTGGGTGGATGTTGTATTATGGCCTGCCAGGTGTCTGCAGCCATTAGATTTTCTGTGTCACTACAGAGACCCAATTTAACGTAACTGAGTAACTCAAATAGATTCGCTGGTTCACTCTTTTTTTTCCTGCTGATAAGGAACAGAGGGACAAACGTTCTGGAAAGATTCTTATAGCTTGCTAACTTTTAATGAATGATATAGATTTGCACAATATACAGAGAAATACACTGTTTCATATCTTAAGGTGTTGTACCCATACCCACGTGCTGCAGAGCCTGGCTTATCCCTGCACACAAACATGAGTGACTCCTCCCCCTCACTGGGTCTGCTGGGCCCAGCAGCAGGTGCAGCTCGCTCCAGCTCCTGAAACATCAGGTCTCTCCCACGCCTCCCCCACCCTCCACCACTTAAAAGGCGAACCCCCAGCTCCCCCATCCCGTATGCTCCCACAGAAACTCAGCCCAAGTGGGAGAACACACAGGTGAAACAGGAGGAATCAGCCTTGAGTTTCTCTGCCGTCGTGCCTCGCTTTACAGAAGCAGGGGCAGAACTTCTTCGCATTGACACAGGTAAGATTCTAGATGCCCTGATCTTTACATCCTTTTCAGGTGTGATGGACACTGCTTCAGATAGACGGCATACAGTTATGTCTGTTTACTCCCCAGCATCTTTTTAAACGTGCTGGAAATATAAAGCTATGAAATAAAAAAAGAAGTCCTACATTTAAAGACGGGCAGGCTGGTTTCTTAAGGACACTTTTAGAGAATGCCACGCGACATCATTTGCACATAACACCTTTGGTTGTACCGTCCTTCCCCAAATCACACCTTTGTAATACAAAGTTAGTTGGGGAATGACCCTGGGCTGCTTCAAACACAAATCCAGCCATTTATTGTGGGCTGTGGTGCTGCAAGCTTTTTTGATAACATGTAGAATTTAACAGGATAAAAGCAATAGAAACAGAGGGATCCTAAGAATGAGATATATGTCAGCTGAACTCCCTGATGTTTCACCTGTTGGAGAAAGGGTGGCGTGTTCCTCCAGGTAACAATTAAACCTTTTTTATTTGAGATAGCCCTAGAAGGTCCTAAAAGCTGGTTTCGGGTTCCCCATCACTCTCCCTTTCATGGCCTTCCTGGAATATATTCAGGCCTTGGAAAACTAACTCCTGTAAACAAGGGGAGAGCTACGTAGACTGCACAGTGCATTCTGAGCCGGTGACCTTCTCTCAGGACCAGGAGCTTGGTTTCTGTTGCACTTTGTCTGTCTCCGGCTGAGCCTCTCACAGCAGAACACAAAGTGCTCTTCAAGCCCCCCAGTACAGAGCTCCCCAGGAATGACACAACAGCCTCCCCACAGCTGCCTCGCCGTACCTTTTATCGGAAATGTAACCTTTCCTTTTCATATCGGGAACAGCATGCTCCACTCCTGGACTGGCAGTGAACATGGGCTGGTGCACGAGGGCCCAAAGTGGGGGTGTGTAGCACCTTACGCTCCTCTCGGGGGGGGAGCTGTTAACGCTATCTATGGCACTAGGGAGATTTCACAGATCTCTGTGGCACCCTCTGTATCAGTACCCAACAGACATCCTCTTTAGTGCTTGAATTTCACATTATGTGTTTCACTTTAATTCCCTCTAATCAGTCTCCATTAAGAATGAACCCATACTTGCCCAGATGACCTCTTGACCCCTCATCCTGCTTAGTGCAAGCTCCTATTGGCTCTTCCTTTTCTCAGTAACGTCCTGGCCCCTGTTCTTGTCATTACCGTTTGCACGCCATGCCTTCCGTCCTCGCGTCCTATCGGGAGTTCCCCACCTCTCACGAGAAATTCCACATGCTTTCCGACATGGAAACGCGTGTCTCCTACTCCGCACTTCCGCCCTCCCTACACCCCCCTAGTCCTTTTCAGCCGACCCCCTCCCCAACCCTTTTCCCAGAGCGCACACATCAGCTGCTCCTTACTTAACCTGCATATGTGTCTCCTGTCTCATATTCAGCATGAATCCTTCAGCCAACCGTTACCTGGTGTCCCGGCCCATCTATTCCAACCAGGAGTTTGAGCAGGACAACGAGCGTAACGTAGAGGAGAGTGCTACCTGGTGGGAGCGGCTTGGTAGGTCCTGCGGGTGAGTCCACCGGTTGCCCATAGCATCCCCAGAAAGGGAGCATGTTACTTCATGTGTTTCTTTGCTGTCGGGAGTGATTCTCTGACTGCAGCATATGTGTTTTACAGTGAGGTATGTTGGGTTTTACCCACAGATGCACAGATAAGACAGCTCTGAGACTGCTTAAGCGAATCTTCCCAGTCGTGGATTGGATCTCCAGATACCCAGTCAGGGAGTGGCTGCTCAGTGATGTCATCTCTGGAGTCAGCACAGGGCTGGTGTGTAGCTTGCAGGGTGAGTATTACCGGCTGCTAACAGATGAATAGTTAGGTACTGTGTTGGGGGTCATTTTTTTCCAGCATTACTGTGTTGTAAACATGTGTCTGATATACAGTACAGGTATCAGCACTATATGTTTTACACATGTGTAAAATATGGATATGATTTGATTTAGAGTCACACTTGAATGTTACAGTATGGTGGTCTGAGTGTAAGCCGAAGGTTGTTTTTAATGACTAATGATGTAGGGGGGCGCTGCTCTGTGGCTATTTATACTGCATCAATAGTGATGTGACCCCCCCAAATGCTGACCCTGCCTGTGTCCCTCAGGCTTGGCCTATGCTCTGCTGGTGTCTGTGGTCCCTATCTACGGGCTCTACTCCGCCTTCTTCCCCATCCTCACCTACTTCCTGCTAGGAACTTCCAAGCACATCTCAGTTGGTGAGCCCCCTCCGCCTCCTCCCACCCCAAAATACTGCAACAGCCATCAGCCATCAGCCAAACCTTTATGCTTTACCTCAGTAATGTTACTTCTTGCTGGATGCTATCAGTACACCCAGGTGCCTCTGTGATTACTGATGGCAGAGTGATTTTGTGTTTGTTCTAATAATTGTTGATGTTACATTTTTGAATTACTACATGTGTTGTGACAATCAGAGCCTTTGATTCATAACAACAAGGTCAGTGAACCTCATATATACATATAAGATTACAGTTCACCCACATTCAACCTGTCCCCCCCACCCTCAGGACCATTTCCAGTAACCTGCCTGATGGTGGGCTCCATGGTATTGACTCTTGCCCCTGATGACGACTTCCTGCTTCCTCTGAATGACACCAATATGAACCGGACGACTATAGACGTGGAGGCCAGGGAAGCACAAAGAATTTTGGTAGCCAGTTCCATGACAGTACTGATTGGTTTGTTTCAGGTAAAACCATTTCCACACTGAAAAGCAAACTGTAAACACAAACTAAGTCTGTCATTTTTCATTAATCATTTAATTGTTTAAATAATGGTAAGCTTTAAGGCAGGGGTGTCAAACTGCAGTCCTGGGGGGCCGGAGCCCTGTGTAGCTTATTTCTTTCCCTGTTCCACCACACAAGATTCAGGGTCAAAATAATTTTCAAATGCACTGAAACTTTACATCAAAGAATCATTATGAAAAAACAATAAATCAAAGAGATTTTGGCTACTTCTGTGATCGATGTTTCATGCATTTGATGGGAAAATGAGACACCTCCGTGGAAACAAAGCTGGCTTAGTTCTCTGAAGGGACTATCTCTGCTATATGGTCCATGTTGGTCTTTCCAGGTGGTAATGGGGCTTCTGCAGGTGGGCTTCCTGGTGCGATACCTGTCAGACCCTCTTGTTGGGGGATTTACCACAGCTGCTGCCCTCCATGTGCTCGTCTCCCAGATGAAGACCATCCTTTCTGTGCAAACCGGTAACCACAATGGAGTCTTCTCCATTGCATATGTGAGTCCTCTGACCAGCCAGGGGGATGTTTCTTGATGTTCCTCATGCATGTGGAATTGTTGCATTTTTTGCCCATATTACCACAATAATTAAAAATAGGAATAACTTTTGTCTACGTATATATCATCATCAGACTTCTGAAGCTGAATAAAACAGGATTCTGGACCCCTCCTTTTCTATTTGTTTCTCACCATCACTGGTCTAGATACTGACTGATGTATTTAGAAACATCAGGCAAACCAACGTGGCTGACCTTGTGGCAGGCCTGTTGACCATCGTCATAGTGATGGTGGTGAAGGAAGTCAACACCAAATTCCAGCACAAGATCCCGGTATCCATTCCTATTGAAGTCATTGTGGTGAGTATCTCATGGTGCAATACAGCTGTTGTAGTGCTGGTTGACTGGTGACATTACAAGACAGAGATCCTACTATTGTCCTCATCGCCACCTCTTACTCTTAGTCTTACTGGCATATGAGTTTGTAGAAATCGTAAAAATGAACTTCTGCTATATTATGGCCCCTTTGTAATATTTTTCCTCTTCCATGACATGCTCCACCTGGCCCCACCCCTTCTGGCGGCCCTGTAAGACCGTGATTGCCACTGGGATCTCCTATGGAGTAAACCTGGACTCACGTTATGGTGCCAGCATTGTGCGCAGCATCCCCACGGGGTAGGAGGACTTCCTGTTACCCTTCCTGTCACCCTTCCAGTTACATTCTTCCTGTTACTGCTCTCTGTCCATGATGGAATAGAAGCTTGTGGTCTTTCTGAACATTTTCAGTCAAACCAGATTTATTCAACAATTCCTGCTTTTATACAACTAACTGACATGCCTTAAGTACTGTAGTACAGAAACACCCCCTTCCGTCATTTGATTTGGTCAGCGACTTAAACAGCCCAGTACAGCAAGTGAAAGGTGAGGTCAACCAGTATTGCGTGTGTTTCTCTGAGATGTGGTTGATGTGTGCCTCTATCACCTACATTGTCAGGTTCACTGCTCCTCGTCCCCCTGATCAGAGGCTCTTCTGGCAGATGCTGGAATCAAGTTTCTCCACGGCTGTGGTGAGCTACGCTCTGGCCGTGTCGGTGGCCAAAGTCTATGCTGCCAAACATGACTACATCATCGATGGCAACCAGGTGGGCAAGGCCCCAGACTTCTTCTAATCATTACAGCAGGGTTTGATCATTACAGCAGGGTTTAACTGTAAGATATTTGACATATAGGGTTTGGTCATTTTAGTATGGCTTGACTGTGAGACATGATCTTTATACAGTAGCTTGTTCAATCTTCTCCTTCTCTCAGGAGCTGATAGCATTTGGCATCAGCAATATCTTCAGCGGCTGCTTCTCCAGTTTTGTGGCCAGTACGGCCCTGTCTCGCACTGCAGTGCAGGAGAGCACTGGGGGAAAGAGCCAGGTATGCCTTGACCACAAATCCACATACAATTACTCGAGCAATTAATGATTTTGGGTAGGTTGGAAGCCATCCTATAATTCATTAACTCATTATGTTCTTGCAGGTTGCCAGTGTAAGCATGAAGATTAAAATGACGGTCATGGGTCATTATGGTACTCACTGCCCATGTTGCAGTTTGTTGGCATGATTACCATGTAACTGATTAACTTTGCTACAGGTTGCTGGCATGATCTCGGCTGTCGTGGTTATGATAGTGATTTTGGCACTCGGTCACCTCTTGGAACCTCTGCAGAAGGTGGGCTGAGCTTCTGGAGACATGTAAAATGAGATTCCACCTGCATCCTCACGCTGATCCCAGACCCTGCTTGTTCCTTAGTCGGTTCTGGCTGCCATCGTCATCGCTAACCTCAAAGGAATGTTCAAGCAGGTTCTGGACGTTCCGGTTCTGTGGCGGCAGAACAGAGCCGACTGTGTGAGTCCCTGGCAAATTGGAGCAGGACCCAGCATAACACAGTTGATTCCTGTAAACAGTACCAGTTCATATCTAGCTCTGCCATATATCCAACTGTATGAGTTATATGCAGTAAAAGCAAACCTGCACTATGATAACAAAGATTAAAAAGAGAAAATGTCATCACACCCAGTCATTTACAGGCTTTTTTAAAGGTTTATTATCAGAATCATGTTTCATTGTTTTGGTGTTCAGGTCTAACTAGCGTCAACCTTGATCCTTAATGATATCCTTTACCATGATGTTGTTGCTCCAGCTGATCTGGATTGCTACCTGCCTGGCCTCTGTTGCTTTGGGGCTCGATGTTGGTCTGCTGACTGGCCTGGTCTTTGAGATGGGCACCGTTGTCGTCAGGACTCAGTTGTAAGTCATAAATGATTTGTGTTACATTTATCGGGTGCTATAGGAAGTTGATCTATATGCATTATATTTATAAACATAGGTTTTTACATATATACGGTATGTATATTCAGGAGTAGTTTTTATATATTAGTTTTTGTTAAGTAAATATTGTTCTTTCCTTGGTGATGAAGTTTATCATACTAGTTTCAGTCAATGACACACTGGTTGAGGCAAGAACAGGACCCGTGAGTGTTTGCTGCACGGTTTGAAGTAAACATGCTTAGAAATTGAAACAAATTCTGCAAATTGGTTTTAGGCGGGGCCCTGTGTCATTATGTTCGGATTGTGCCCATATCAAATAGCTGATAAGTGGTTGTAAATCTCCAATAGTGAAACAAACAAAAATTCTCCATAGTCTAAATCTTCGACACTTTTTGTACAAGTGCACACTGTGAAACCACACACTTTTTTGTACACCATTTGTACATGAGTGCACACTTTTCAACCCCTACACAAGGGAGCAACACATGGCAGATGGGTGAGGGAGGGCCTCACACTATGTTAACAGCCTGAAGTGTTTTATGTCCTTTCAGCTTATTTGCACAGACTGTGATGATGATGGCAGTGGAAACGCAGTACAGAAAAAGACAATCAGATATTCCTGTCATTTCCAAACATAACCATAAAACTTTCCCTTCTGTCATCGAAGCCCCACGTGTTCAACTCTTGGGAGTGTTCGTGGTACCGACATCTACAGAAACATGAAGGACTACAAGAGTGTGAGTCCCGCTGCCATGCTGGTCTGTGAGGTCCACTCTTAACCCTACGATGGCCCGTGTCCTCCTGGGGCTCTCTTTTTCTGAGCGAGCGAAATTCCAGCGCCCGTAGAGTACGTTCCCGTGGGTCGGATCATGTAGAGGCGCTGAGCAGGAATCCCAGACTGATGAGGAATGCCTCTTACTCCTAGGTTGTGGAGGTGGCTGGAGTGAAGATCTTTAAGTGCAATGCGCCCATCTACTTTGCCAACATCGACTACTTTAAAGAGCAGCTCAGAACAGCGGTAGGTGTCTACTGAGTAGCTAGTGGGGGGGTTAGCAGGTTCTAGAAGTTATGCTACCTTCAACGTAGTAAAAATGGCCTTAAAGAAACTTTAAGCTATGTGATAGCTTCTTAAAGGGCCCATTGACTAAGTGGGATCTGTATAAAACATTCACGAGACCAAGGTGTGGATTTATCGTTCTACATAGGTTGGCTTTGACGCTGTCCGTGTGTTCAAGAAGAGGAACAAGGCACTGTACAAGATCCAAAAACTGATTAAGAAGGGCCAGCTGAAGCCCACTGAGGTGGGATTAAACCAGAGTCCTCATTATTCACTTTATCTCCTCTTAATGATCAACTTGTCTGCTTGGATCTTAGTGCAGTGGAAAATTTTCACATGAGGCTTTATCGATTCTTCTCTTATCAAGTGTTATGGACAGTTTTCCGTTGTCATACAGTATAAAATTTTCCATTCTTATCAAGGACTAATAATAGCTATTTCCAGCCCATCTTGTCTGCCTAACCCTCCTGTCTCCTTCCTCACGTGGCCCTGAGGAGCTACTTGTTACCCCTCAGTAGTCTTTGTAGTTAAATACCTATTTGTCTTGTCAGCCCCAGTCCGGTTATTGACATTGCTCCTCCTGCCTGTGTCGATCCCCATATTCGGCTTACAGCTCTGACCCCTCACAGTCTCGTTCATTTCCCTGCTCTTGCTCAGTTCAATAAACCCATTTTATGTTTGTCAAAACGCCTGCCTTTGGCTCATTCGTCTCACATCTTGTGACAATAGTTTCCATGAGCATAATCACGTGATGTGCTATGTGCTCTGCCTGTACATCAACTTGGACAAAATTAAATAAAATTAAATTTAAGTACATTAAATTAAAAAAATTTTTTTACATAAACATATGTCCTGTACCAGAGGTGTTCTTCATTTTGACTTCTTTCTTGCTGGCTTCTTCCACCTCCATCCCAGAATGGGGTCATATCTGTGAACACACTAGGCCAGGACAACCAGGGCTTTGAGGGTGAGCCAGTGACAGCACCCCAACACGGAGAAGTGGAAGAGGGTTTCCGTGTGGACTGGGCCTCGGAGCTACCAGTGCCAGTGACGGTGCCTAGGGTCCACATCCACAGCCTGGTGCTCGACTTCTCTGCCGTCTCCTTTCTGGATGTGGTGGCTGTCAAGGCCCTCAGAATGGTGCGTCCACATCCTGACCAATCATGTTCATCACAACACTTTCACAGCAGTCCAAGGTCCAGGAGGAGGCACTGTTTGAGTCTCTTCAAAAACTCAACACCTTCATACACTGAGCTTTTGGATAAAATCTGCAAACGGCACAACAAACATCCACCTCTGCTATGCTGTACACACATGGCTTCTCTTTGCTTTTGCAAGTTTTTTCAAAGTTTTAGTTTACCAGTTAGAATGAACTATTTTTCACTTTTGGTCATTTAAAGGTCAGGTCATTTACAGGAGGGATAACCTGTGGTGCAATTCTGTGGTTTCTTATTGCTCCGTAATGCATGAGAATGTAATTGATGTGTTATCTATGCGCATTGCGACATCATAAAAGTTTTATTTGCTCATATCAGTCCGGCTCTAAGGTGCTGTATCTCTCCTCTGCCACACAGGTAATTAAAGAGTTCATTAGGATCAAAGTCAATGTCTTCATTGCAGGCTGTGACGGTACGGTGACGCACCCCTTCCTCACCACAGACACATACACAGCCCAGCCCTTACACTCATGAAGGGTGAAGATTAACTTAGTGATGCTGCTTGGCAGGTGGTCATTTTTATGTCTTGAACATGTGTGAGACACAGACAAATACATTAGATTTGGTAACACACAAGTCTTTGCCCCAGATCAGTTGACTTCCAAAGCAGTAACAGAGGCATAGTTTTTAATGTGGTAAATATCTGGACGTCTTGTTGAATTGGAAAAACGCTTGTTTTGTAGATGAAATGGTCCGGAATTTGGACTCGCTGGCCTTCTTTGATGAGGTGGTGACAAGAGACCTCCTCTTCCTGTCCATTCATGATGCAGTCCTCTTCATCAGACTACGAAGGCTAAGTCATGGTCTGCAGAATCCCATTCTGGAGAAGGTAAGTAGCATGTCTGGTGTTCTGATAGTGCTGGGTGTATGGCAGGAAGCTTTCATGCAAGATTCTGGGTGTGTCCCCACCCAAACACTGTCCATTGTCCAATGAGAGCAGCAAATGTTTACCCTACATTTCAGAACTATAAAGAAATTGACTATTTCACCAAAGCAGAGGACCTGACTGAGACCTATGATGCCCAGAACAGAGTAAGTCTTCCTTTGCATTCTTTCCATTCACTTCTTTCACTTTCATCTTTTTTTCTTGTTTTTTTTTTCTTGAGAATTAGCACCGAGATGTATGCAGCCTGTCAGTCAAGAAAAATCTGAGTGTCCAAAAAAGTATACGATGCAGAAATAAGATTGTGCCAGTATGTCTGACCAGTAGTGAGCTTACAGTCTTTGTCTGCATAACGTATATTCTCATCATGTGGTCAGGCTCTCTTAAGAAATCCAGTCCTCTCCATTGTTTTCTACTTATACAACCCAGTTCTTACATTTCTAGGTTCCCAGCTTGCCTCCACCTGTGTTTTATAACCAAAAAATTGACACTGGATCCCAAGTGCCTCCTGTGACTCCAGGTTCTCCAGCCCAGTAAGATACCTGTTAGCTTTTCTCTCTTGTTCCTAGGTAATCTACGGGCTGTCCTAGTGAGGACTAGATGGACAAGACATTCTTTGGAACAGCGCCGCAGTCTGTGCATTGTCCTTTTTGATAACTACAGACACCTTTCTCATCTTAAATGTCCCATCTGGAAAAAGTGTGTCCTACTGATCCGGAGAGGAAAGGGCAGGAACATAGAAGCCTGCTCTTTCGCCCAGGATGATGGGAAGTTCTCAAAAGCCAAGTGTGAACTCTGAAACTGCAGTTCATTGAAGTAAAAAAGCAGTGGATGTGTCTTTTAGACAGATGAGCTGTTAACAAGAAGCACTTTAGACTGTCTGTATAAACAGCCCATTTCCTACAGCAAGGTCTTTCTCTTGCTCTGTTTTAAGCCTGTACAGAGAAGTGTAAAAAGACTTTCTGATTTGCGAAAAATTGGCAAATCTAGTCCAGATATTAGCCCAAAGAAGGGCATTTTCTGCCGAGGGGTGATTTGGTGACAGTGAGGGAGAGTTTATCCTGTTTACATGCAGGTCCACATTTCATGCCCTTGCAAAATGTCTAGCAGAACTACGTCCTCTTTTCTGTAACAATTTCTCTTAAACGGTCCTACCAAAGCAGCCTCTGTTTCTGTCCTGGGATCCCCTGGAATCTGCAGGATTTCCACAATATACAGTAACACACTTCGTGCACCACTGACTTCTGTGGGAAACATGCTGGCAAGAAGTTGAGCCTAATACCACAGAAGTCTCATTGGATTGCGTTTGGGATCTGTAAACACTGTCACATTCCTTTAGATGCAGAAACTTCCACTTCACAGTTTGTCTGTTTCTTAAGGTCATGAGATAACTGCTTTTGTCCAGTCAGATAACACTGAATGTGAGATCACGTGGGAAGATATTAAGCTGTTAAATAATGTAATATAATGGACAGTGTATGATGTAAGGATGTGCAGAGATGGTTTGTCTAATGGCAAAGGCATTATGTCTGAAATTTGCCTGATTTTTGTATTTTCAACCTAGCTGTAGTGAATCACTCATTAAAAGGCCGGTAGTATGAACTTCCTCAGATCACTTTAAATGTTTACCTTTGAAGGTGACTAATGTTTATTTATTTATCTGACTGGTCCTATGAAAGGTCTTGAGTCATATTAAAATATGCTGAGCTACACAGAGACATGCTGAAACACACCGAGACACTGAAATATGCTGAGATACACCAAAACACGCTTGAAACACTCTTAATAATGCAGTGATTCACCAGAAAATACATGGATCACAAACATGTCAAAACAAAAAAAGCACAACACCATGAAACAAAACATATTGATTAGGAGAGTATGTGTATTTTCCGAGCACAGTGATTATGTGTTCTATATATTACTTAGAAACTAGGTTGACTGTAAAAGCAGGCATACTTAAAAAAAATCGCGGACCATATCTGTGACGTTCTATCTGAAGGTTAACAAGTTAATTTAGGTAATCTTCGTTGCAATGAAATTAAGCAACAAACTCACAAAATAGGCGTTTTTCCGACTTTCTAAGAACAAAACCAATTAACACACCTTTATCTAGTGACCCGGAACTGTCTGGCAGATAGCGGCTCCTCTCCATCTGGTATTAGCGCATGTGTATAAAAGCTAATTGTCATCTAGGTTTAAAGTTTGTGTCATAAAATCACCTTTTACTGTACGTGTACAGCACCTTCTGTCCCTGCGCAGACCCTCTCGGAGCTCTCAGGTTGCGCATAAATATTGTAACGTTTTCAGTGTTAGTGCAAGGCGGGGTTAACATATCACTGAATAGGTGTTAGAAACAAAAATTCGGGTGTGGCTCGGAAGAAACAAACGCTTCATAGTGCCGATATTTCTTATCAAACACACCTCCAAAAGAAATTTAATAAACAACACAAGCCAATATATATATCATGCCACCATGATAAATTATATACTGGGGAAATGATTTATAATAGGAAAATACACGTTTTTATCTGACTAATACGGCCGTTATCACTTCCATAATTACTAGTCATAGATAGTGAAGAATGAACTTTTAGGCAGTGGGGGAAAAAAAAACTATCAGTATATGTGTAACGTTTTTAGATGTGATGTAACTGAAATAATAGTGTTAGGAACATGCGAAGCACTAAAAAGTCAACTGCATTTTCAACTGTTTCTGCTCACATCACAGTACAATAACATACAATTTGCATCCAGTGATGGACTGGAAATAGGTTCACTGCATCTTCTCACTGGATTAGCGGTACTGCATATTGGATGGAAATATAAAGGTCTTTGTGTAAAGTAATGTAACCAAATAGCGGGAATTAGCTAGAAGGTCAGCCGAATCGGTACAATCCGGTCGTGAATGGCATGGTTGGTGTCGTTTGGCTATTTGCTGTCCACTGGGTAGCGTCATGGATGCATGCTCCGCTCGTCACCCCTGGATCAGCTCGGACCCATGCTCCGCTCGTCACCCCTGGATCACCTCGGACCCATGCTCCGCTCGTCACCCCTGGATCAACTCGGACACATGCTCTGCCCATTATTCTCTGTTTTCCTTGCCACCCTCATTTATTCTCTCGGAGTTTCTACAGCTCGCCATCTGTGTGCATTACAGCCGGTGAGGAGCGGCATTACTGACCCGGCACATGAGATATCCGGCCCTGGGCTGAAAAGGCCCGAGAATAAATGAGATACAGCACATGTTCTAATATTTACGGCACACATTTCAGCTGCGGAGATAAAGGGGAGCCGGAGTGATATGATGATCAACCCAGCTTGGTATAATCCACATCCCACTGCCAGCTTCACGGCAGAGTGACAGATTCAGGGAAAGCAGCACCCTTTTCTTCTTCAGCTTCCTCCCCCACTCATTTTCACAAAGGAAGGTCCTGTTCTTGGTCACAGACTAGTATGGTATTTTATATTTAAAATATATTAAAATGGATATAATATTAAAAACATGAAGGGGTGATTGGACAAAAGAGGAGGTGTATCCATGTATGTTTAGCTTGTTTTAATACGCAAACATCTTCAGATCATTTTAATTGCAAGCCTGACCTGTCAAAAGAAGCCAAAACATTAAGAGGCGTTCAGTGTAGATGCCATTTCATGCTATTAACTCTGGAAGATTTTTCAAATGTCAACAACAACCAGTTGCTTAACGGAAATGTATACAGGCAATAGTGGAAAAAAAATGAATTTGGATGCAAACAACTGAGTAATCGCCTCACACCACTGCCAAACTATAAAATGGTAAGAGATCATCGGGGGGGGGGGGGGGGAGTTGTGTGACATTAGAAATTCTCCATTAAGTGTCAGGCAATTTGCCAGTATTGTTATCTGTTAGAACAATGGTCAAGGATAAGGGGGGGGTAAAGAACCTTCCTAAAAGGAGAGCAATACAGCGCCTGTTAATAATTATAGATGCGATAAGTTATAATATCGAGCTCTCCATGTATAGGACCACACAGATTCTAGGCTTCCCTCGGAGAGGACCTGGCTAACACTGGAACGACACAGAGGAAGACAACCTGACGACCGTTTGCTTTATTACCATTGAAGTACCAGGTATCCAAACAAGCGCCAGCATTCCGATATGCAGCTATGTGTTTAATCTGCAGACTCAAATCAACTCAATATGCTTTTATATACTGAGTTGTTTTGTCTTGGGCTTCTTGCTAGTCAAGTATTACCATTTGGAAATCAGCTTGTAGCAAACTGTCACACCAATCTGAACTGGTGGCAATTAGAGCCTAACCTTAAAGCAGAGCAGCGAGCAATTCTCGCTGCTCTGTCGTTGGCATTGCTCTTAGAGTATAGGGCTCAATTGGCTCTCAGTCAAAGGGTTCAGTCAGTGGCCCCTTGGTTCCCTGTTTCCAGCAGTGTTGGGGCTGTTGGTCTCAGGGGTCAGGGGTGGACGGCCAAGGTTGAGGTGCTTTGTCACAGACCTTGTTTATAAAGACAAATAAATTTTGCTAACATGTAAGCGGTGAGTTTGACTGGTAAGACAAATGATAACTCTAGATGTAAAAGAACTAAAAGATATCTTTTCATGTAGGAGGACCTTATGGTGCAAGTGGCCTGTCTGCTGGTTTGGGTTCAGCTTAAACGCCAGCTGAGGTGTAGGATGGCTGCAGACGTTCTATTGAGGTGTGGTGGATCTACTGATTCTTGCTTCCATCCTCCCTACACAGGATCTTTCTAGCACCAACGGGAGATTGAGCTGAAATAATGCGCCGGCCAGCACATCCTTACTCAGTCAACAGGCCGGTGTACTCTGAGGATTCATTTTCTGAAGAGCACCAGAACATTTGCAGGAAACACAAGACCCTGCAGGACCACGTAAAGGTGTACCTCAGGTAGGTGCTCTCCTTACCTCTCTCTGAAGACCTAGAAACCTCAGAATATCTCACCTTTTCACTTCGCCAAATGCCTTTGTACAAATGTGCCCCTTTTACACTTAAAAATGCAACAACTTCTGTAGCATGATGGTAGAAACCTCTTGAGCCTTCCCAAGAATATTTTTAAGCTTCTCTGTTGCAGTCAAATAAATAGACACAGGATTTAGTTACATCTCCACAGTACAACAGGATATCTTCAGGGACAGCTTGTGTTCTTTTCCCTGTTAGATACACTTAGATACAGACTTATGGGCTTTGCAGGTGTGATGCCACACGGGTGAAGAGGGTAGCCTGCTCCCTGCTTCCTATCATCCAGTGGGTGCGACTTTACAATGTGAAAAAGTGGCTGGTTGGGGACCTCGTGTCAGGAGTCAGTACCGGACTGGTTTCTGTGCTGCAAGGTAGCCTTGACCTCTTCATTCCATCCTTGCAAAGTGTCGACCTTGTATAAGGATGCAATCATAACATGAATGGCTATAAAATGGCAAAATTTAGCATTGATATACTTAATGACAGTAGTAAGTAAAACAGATGATATTGTATCCAACAAATAAACTGGAGAGAGGAGCTGCTGTTTGGCCACCTGATTCAGCAACTCGTCTTGTATTTGTCTCTTCAGGATTCTATTGTTTGTACACGTTCATTTATCAAACAGATGTGGGTGTTTATTGGTTAGAAGAACATGCAGCTAAAGTTCTGTTCATCTATGACTCATCAATGGTTAACAGTTTGTTCAATGACAGATGAGATATTAGTCAGCTTACTAACTAAGGAACAGAGGTTGTCTAACCCCAGACCTTATTTGCTGAATAACTCTGGATAAATGTGGTTATTCTACACTTTACTGCATGTTCTGTGGTTCTGTCTGAAGGCTTGTTTACACTGAACACCATCTTCTCCCAAACCTCTGACTTCCAGGTCTGGCCTACTGCCTTCTTGCGTCTCTCCCACCTTGGTACGGGCTCTACACAGCCTTTTTCCCAGTCATTATTTACTTCTTTCTGGGTACCTCCAGACATATCTCTGTGGGTAAGGATGGCGATCGCTTGCATGCTGATCCTCACACTAACCCTCATGCCCATCACGTCAGCGCATTACTGAGCATATATGTGTGTCGGTCCCTCTACAGGTGCATTTCCAGTTCTGAGTCTGATGGTGGGGTCGGTTGTGACCCGTCTAGTACCGGATGAAGGTCCCATAGCCAACATTACCGGCTTTGAAGGGCTCACCAAGGACGAGCAGAGGGTCATGGTGGCAGCATCTGTTACCTTCCTCATGGGGATTATCCAGGTCAGACACATAAACACATGAACATTGATAATTTGGTGTGAAATGGATAAATTCCCCAGTTGATGGATATAATATATATAAACTTTTTTTGGTATTCTTGTCAACTTTGCTCGCTGCTAACTGGCTCCTCCTATCTCCTAGCTGGCCTTTGGACTGGTGCAGGCTGGGTTCATAGTAACATATTTGTCCGACGTTCTGATCTCTGGCTACACCACAGCGGCCGCCATTCACATCCTGGTGTCACAGCTGAAGTTTGTTCTGGGACTGAACATAAAAAATTACACCGGACCCCTGGCCCTAATCTATGTGAGTAAGCATAGGTACATCAGACTACTCAGGACCATAAAGTGTCCAACGTATTTCCTGAGGAATCATGTACCTCGGGGCTACACACATTCTTTTTGCCTCAAATTCATTGCTGATGTCTCAAACTTTGTCTGCAGACCCTGGAAGAGATCTTTGCTCAAATTGAGAATAGCAACATAGCTAGCCTGGTGATGTCCGCCATCATCATAGTGGTGGTGTTCATCGTGAAGGAGCTCAATGAACGATTCAAGGCTAAGCTCCCTGTGCCCCTGCCCATTGAGGTCGCCATAGTGAGTATCCTCCCACCCAGATATTCTTACATTTGTTTTGTAATTGATCCAATCTGTGGTTTTCATTTCAATTAGAAAACTAGCATTCCTATTTCTGATCTGTTCTTCTTTACAGACTGTTATAGCCTGTGGTGTTTCCTATGCATGCAAATTTGTGGAAAAGTATGATGTGGATGTGGTGGGGAAGATCCCTGTTGGGTAAGCATAAAGCTAACATCAAACGATGATGCAGTTACATGCAATGTACAATAATCCCCACTATTTATAAATAGTAAAATGAACGGCAGTGTAGTTTGTAAGATGCCTCATTTCCTTTCCCAGGTATGAGCCTCCAATGGCCCCCAGTGTGGAGATCTTCAAGCTGACAGTGATGGACGCCTTCCCCATGGCCATCGTGGCTTTTGCCGTGGCGTACTCCGTGGCTAAAGTCTATGCCATCAAACACGAATACACGATCGACGGTAACCAGGTGAGTCCCCACAGTCTGTAGTTCGTGCTCTCCTTTCAGTCCAAGTCTTTTGGTTGATCATGGAAGGCAGAGTCATTTCTGCAGGAGTGCTTCGGCGTTTCAGCATTTGTTCTGTGTCAAAGCTTTCGACTGACTTATGAATCTTTGCAGGAACTCATCGCCTTTGGAGTCAGTAACATTTTCGGCGCCACCTTCAGGTCGTTTGCTGCGAGTACAGCTCTATCGAGGACCGCTGTTCAGGAGAGCACAGGAGGGAAAACGCAGGTGAAGTGGACCTCCGCAGAGCAAAAGCACATTTTACTGCAGCTCCACGGTGGTGCCCTTTGTGACAACGGGGCATGATCCCCAATTTGTGGGAACACTGTCTCTGACCTAAAATAAATACATTAATGATTTGCAAAGGATAGAAAAATCCAGTCTGACTGCAAATAATATGGTTTGGTAGATAAGGACAATTGTTATAATATTAACATCACAATAAACTTTCAGGTTGCTGGTCTGCTCTCAGCGATTATAGTGATGATTGTGACCATATCCATTGGGTTCCTCTTGGAACCACTCCCAAAGGTAAGCTTCTGCCCTCGGGGAAAAGCACTCTGTGATAACCTGAGAAAGGGAAGGGCGTGAGTAGACCCTTCACTGATGTAATGAGGTTTGCTCTGCAGGCGGTCCTGGGGGCAATAGTGATCATCAATCTGAAGGGGATGTTGATGCAGATGCGGGTGGTAGGCTTCCTGTGGAAGAAGGACCGGCCCGACTGTGTGAGTGCTCAGACCTACTCGCTGCACCTCCAGGCTCTGCATAATGCACTTGAGAATTCCTTTAAACCTGTCATCATTCTTTGACCTTCAATAACCACTATGAGTTATAGATCATAGGCTACATGTTGTTGCTCAACACAGCAGTTTCGGTATTTGTTACAAATTGGCCTTGTAGCAGGGTACCGCACCTCATCCTGCTAACATGGACCACCCCTTTCCCATTGCTAGATGGTTTGGCTGATGACTTTTGGGGGTTCCCTCCTTCTGGGCATGGACCTGGGCATTCCTGTCGGCCTGGCAGCAGAACTCCTCGCTCTGGTCTTCCGGACTCAGTTGTGAGTAGAGACGCACTTGGGGAACCTGCAGAGAAATTTCAGTGAAGCGATTTAGGTTTTATGGAACACCTTCAAACACCTAGTTAGTGTGTAGTTTGATGGGTCATGGATCTGTGTCTTTGAAGGTTGTGGGTTCATATCTCATAACTGGAAGAGTACCCATATCACTGTCAGACCCCTGAGCAAGGTCCTTAACTCCTTAGCTTCTGGGGTGCTGGATGCTGAGTAGCCTTGCTGTCTGATCTCAATCTCTGCTTACTCGTGTGTCACTTTCGACAAAAGCGTCTAGTAAATATAAACCTCCAGATTGCTGTGTTTGGGGGAAAAATATTTAGTGTCATTACAAGCTAAAGCTCAACGAGACATTTAGTTTCAGCCTGCAAGGAAGCCAGAAGACTATACGACATACATATAATGGTGTTATATAACCATGTCACATGTCATATAACCATATCATCTGCCTGTGGTGCTTTTTCTAGCCCCCGATGTTCTCTCCTGGCTAACATCAGTGGCACTGACATCTACAGGGACTGCAAGGACTACCGTAATGTAAGCAGAGACATTGATAGCTTTCACCTCTCACATTGTTTGTCGATGTAGTAATTTAAGTACCTCACAGTCGCTCATAAACCTCACAAGACATGCCTTGGATCTGTCTTGCTTTGGGACACCCACAAGCACTCTCTTCTCCCTCATCTTCTCTCAGATCTTTGCACCAAGTGGCGTGAAGATCTTCAGAATCTCCACACCGATCTACTTCGCCAATGTTGAATTCTTCAGAAACAAGCTAAATGAATATGTATGTATATCGCTTGGTGTGATCAGCTGTCAGAGAAACTTTAACTCATGTCATCTGTCAGTACAATTATTACATTTCGGAGAATCGCTCAAATTGGACAAAAAATGTAGCGCAGCCTTATAGTCATAAAATGTGTTGCTCAATAATTGAGTTTACTTCATCTTTACTATCTACCCCTACTTGATAGAACTTGACCTTATCATTTGGATTACAACACTAATATAAAGGTACTTCTCAGATAAAGAGTAATCGAAGGATAATGGTTGTTCAAATATGATTCTGGAATCAGTTATCACATTTATCTTTATATCACACTTTTTTTGTCTGTCTTTTACTGGAATCGATATTCTTGACATCATAAAACATCAGTTCATGCAGGTTGGCTCTGTACTGTGTTTGTAGCTGGGGTTTAACCCTCTGAGAGTCTTACGTAAGAGGAACAAAGCCTTGCAGAAGATCAAGAAATTGCTGAAAAGCGGTGAATTGCAAATAACAGAGGTGAGTCATGTTCCTTGTCAAACAGCTACAAGCCTCAGTTTCTGAGTAGAGATGATAGCAGCAGTACATACATGACCTCTGCATGACCTCTATATGACCTCTGTCTTTCTCCTATGTCAGAAAGGGCTGTTATACATGACCTCCAATTCAAATGAGGACTCAGATGATGAGGGTAACACAGAGGATCTAGACCAGCCCAGCGACTACAAGGACCTGCCCCTTCAGGTCAACTGGAACGCTGAATTACCAGCCAACATGCGAGTGCCCAAGGTCGACGTCCACAGCGTGATCCTGGACTTTGCAGCCGTCTCATTCTTAGACATCTCTGCCATTAAAGGACTCAAATCGGTAATAAGCAGTTAAAACCGTCTGTGTAACTACAGCAGAAAAAGCAACCAACTGAGATGTTATTTAGATAAGCAAAAGTGTGATACCTGACTTTTCACAGGCCCTGAAGGAACTTATCCGAGTGGAAGTGGATGTTTACATCGTAGCGTGTGACAGTGAGTATTCCCCACAGAGAGTGATGTGCGATGGATAGAAATGTTGCACCACACTAAGCGGGATGGTTCTTGTTTGCAGGGTACGTCCTGGAGAAACTTCACAGCTGCAGCTTCTTTGACGACGAGATCAAAACATCCATGTTTTTCCTGTCACTTCATGACGCCATGCTTCACGTCATGGAGAATCATCCAATCATCTTGGAGTACAACACCTTAAACGAAAAGGTATCGTGCGTCTCACCAGCACGCCTATATGGGTTTTGCACATTTCTGATTGAGGCCTGTTTCCATCACAAGGTCAAACCGCCTGCTAACAGCTGCAATTAACATGTAAACACAACAAAACGGTACCGTTCATGACTATATGACACTTATGGAATCTAAACCTATGCTGCCGATAATGAAATCAATACAGTAGTAAGTACACATCCGTGGGAAATCTAAGAGTACAGACCAATACAAAGTAAAAAGCATGAAGAAGATGATAGTGTACAATTCACTTCTTCCATGGAGGTCAGAATTGCCAATAGCATCAACACCATTGTGTTTAAGCACATACAATCCCAGAACAGTTCAAATACAGACCCCACAGTCCACTATGGAACACCAGTGTCCGCATCACAGTAACGTACAGTCTGCAGTTTCAATGAGTGCCCGCATGCAGTGACGAGTGACTCATTTTCTTTCCAGGTTTTATGGCCAGAAACCAAACTGTAGACAAGATGCCGGCAGTGTTTGTGATCAGATCCCAAGTGGACCGCCTTTGCTGCTCTATCAGCAGGAAATGAATGATATTAGATCACCAGCTGGAATGAGATGCTTGCAGCCCCTCCATCCGGGTGCCATAGCTAATGCAGCGTGATGCCAAGGCAGACACACTCTGGACAGGATGCCAGTGCATCAGCGGTCACACACACTGTCTTCATACTGGAGCAAACTGACGTGGACATGGAGGAAACAAACATATGATCAACTTTGCACATATTAGACATTTGGTATCTCAGCCACAGTTCTGTCTTTTTATATTGTAAACTTTGGCTTTTTTTTAAGAAGTAATTGTACTTTAAACAAGAATGAGTTTATAAATATTGGTAAACTGTTGGTTTTATGTTGTATGCTTTTATATTTTTTGTAGAATATGTATATTGTGTATTTTATCCGTCATCCATACCAAGGTGCAGTGGATATTTCATGGTTTTTTTTCCATCATGTTTATTAAATGCAGCTAACATTTTCCAGTGGCACTCATTTACTGGTATTTAGCTTCTATGCTTGACAATTTTAAGTCTTAAAAATCCAGCTACATAGAAATTCTCCCAGTTAGATACAATGGCAAAGGGTGGGTCATTGTGACTCCGAGATGCTGTAGAACTGAAAATGTAAATAATAAATGCTTTATAACAAATCTGTGCCTTTTCTTATAATTCTGACAACAGTTCTGCAATTATTACCCATGAAATCAGACAAAACTGATCAAGCTGTTTTAATATATGTCCTCACCCATAAACATTATCAGAAAATATGCATTTATACAAAAATATTTGTATCATTATATCAGACTATGTCAATAAATACACTAATATTTTTAAGGCATAAGCACAAAAAATATATTACTGTAACTGAATAAGTGAAAAGTATCATGTTTGTATTTTGAGTTCTTCATTATCAGAGAATATATCTGTATATAATGTGTGGATGTATGTACATTGTACGGGTGTGTATATGTACATGCCAATACCCACTACCTGGATAGTAAATGCAGCTGTAAGAACATAAGAACTATACAAACGAGAGGAGGCCATTCGGCCAATTGAGCTCGCTTGGTGAGAACTTAACTAATAGCTCAGAGTTGTTAAAATCTTATCTAGCTCTGATTTAAAGGAACCCAAGGATTCAGCTTGCACTA